TACTTTCACGTCTTTTAACTAAGGTAATTGAATCCATTAATATAGACCTCAATAAATGTTATTTATGGTCAGATTCCACAATAACCCTTGCTTGGATCAATACTTCTCCTAACAATCTTCAAACCTTCGTAGCTAACAGAGTCTCCGAAATTCAGGTCTTAACAAAGTCCTATACATGGAAGTATGTACCCACACAAGATAATCCTGCAGACCATCTATCAAGGGGATTATCTCCTTCTCAAATACTAAATTCTTCACTATGGTGGGACGGTCCGTCATGGTTGTCTTTAAGGGAAGAATTTTGGCCCCTTTTAAATCCAAAGGTAGACATTCTACCCGAAATAAAATCTCAAACTATTCTCAATTTTGTTTCCTATTCTCAGCAAGAACAATGGTTTCCATTCAAGGCCTTTTCACAATATTCGCGTTTACTGCGCGCATTTGCATACATCCTTAGATTTAAAAATAATTTATTAACACCCAAAATTCTTAGAGAGTGTGGCTCTCTAACATTAACCAATATTAATGACGCTCGTCGTTATTTATTGAAGATCATACAACTACACTCTTTTCGCGAAGAGTATGATCAGCTGTCAAAACAAAAAAGCGTTAGTTCCAACAGCAAGCTCTTCTCTTTAAACCCATTTATTGACCAGGATGGTTTAATACGTGTTGGTGGTCGCTTGGCTAACTCGGATTTTCTATATGACAAAAAACATCCCATTGTCTTGGATTCAAAACATCATTTCACGATATTATTTTTCCGTCATGAACACCTGCGTCTATATCATGCAGGCCCTCAGCTGCTTCTATCTACTATTCGGGAGACATATTGGCCTATATCAGGCAGAAACCTATCTAGGTTGACTGTTAAACAATGTACCACTTGTTTACGATTTAATCCTAAACCTATACAACCAATCATGGGTGATTTACCACGTGACCGATTACTATACACATTTCCCTTTGCCATCACTGGTATTGACTACGCCGGTCCGTTTTTGTATAAAAATAAGGGCAGAGGTGCCAAATTAAATAAATGCTATATTTCATTATTCATATGTTTTGCTACAAAGGCGATTCATCTTGAGCTCGTAACCGATTTGAGCACTCAAACATTCATGCTTGCCTTGCGCCGCTTTATCGCTCGTAGAGGAAAGCCAGCCAAATTGTACTCAGATAATGGTAGAAACTTCGTAGGTGCCATGTCTGAACTTAAAAGATTTTTAAAAATTAACAATGCACACATACAAGATTCATGTACACATGAGGGTATTGAATGGCATTTAATTCCGCCATATTCTCCACATTTCGGGGGACTCTGGGAATCCGGAGTAAAATCTTGTAAATTTCACTTAAAACGTTCACTTAAAAATACAAATCTTACATTTGAGGAGTTTGCAACAATACTATCACAAATAGAAGCAGTACTCAACTCCAGACCTTTGTGTCCTATTAGTCCTGATCCTAATAATTTAACACCACTCTGTCCCGCTCATTTCCTCATCGGTAGAATGCCAACGCTAGCTCCAGAACCAGATCTACTCCAAGAGATTCCACAACGACTCAATAGATTTCAACGCATCCAACAAATTTTCCAAAGTTTCTGGAAGAGATGGTCTTCCGAATACGTCGTCGAGCTACAGAGACGTTCTAAGTGGCAAATATCCAAGGGAGAATTAGTAGAAGGAACTTTAGTCCTTATCAAAGATGACTGTCTGCCACCAGCAAAGTGGAAATTAGGCAGAATAACTCACATACATGACGGATCGCAGAATACCGCTAGAGTTGCAAAAATAAAGACTCAAGAAGGTATCATCACGAGGTCATTCTCCAAAATATGTCCTCTCCTTCCATTAAATTGAAAGATTCAGGATCTTTCAAGGCCGGGAGTATGTCGACGACAACCCATTTTGTATTTGAACGGTCCGCCACTGCAGCCCAGCCAGCCAGCTAGTCGGTACAGACGACAGATGACAGAATGACATTCCATCACCAGCCGTTGAGAAGCATAGAACTATTTGTTATTGTTTTCATATTTTTGTGCAGATTCATAAATAAATGCAGTATTTTAGACTATTAATTAATTTCAATAAATACAGTCCACTACAACAATAAACAATAAGAAAGATGGTCGGTTTGGAGAAGTCCCAGTTTGTCAGCTAGTTCTTGGTGGATAATCTTTCCTACTGAGTCATGGCGTTCTTTATAATCGATACCGACAAATGCCTGGCAGCCACCGGTAAGATGTTGATTGGTTTCTTGGGCTTGGCATCCATATCGGCATTTGTTATTATCTTGAGGATCTTTAACAATATATTTTAAGTAATTTTTAGTTGGAATTACCTGATCCTGAATGGCAAGTAGGATACCCTTAGTGTCGGGAAACATCTTTCCTGATGTCAACCAATAGTTCGACGATGTATTGTCGACATATTCTTGGCTGATCTCATTAAGATGTCGCCCATGCAGAGGTTTACTCATCCAGGTGCGCATTTTTTCTTGCTTAGTAAGATGATTTATGCACATTTCTTGTTCCCAAAGTTTAAGCGGCGTTGTATCATCTACTGCACAAATTGCTCGATGTAAAGTAGATGTCTCAGCCTGTACCTGAAAATAAGTTCTTAAATTAGCAATTTGTTTATCTAATTGCTCAGCTATATCCATAAGTCCTCTTCCTCCTTGATACCGCGGCAATGTTGTTCTCTCTCCTGCACTACGTCGATGGTGTTTTTGTGCCTTTGTGAGAAGTGTTCTTACTTTCCACTGAAGACCCTCTATATCTGTCTTTGACCACTTATAATACCAAATGAGTAGCTCCCAAATTTTCTATTATTATTATATTATTATATTTTTATATTATTATTATCCCAGATTTAGCCATACGGCTCACACTCCCTCTAAGGGGAAAATTCACTCATCCCAGATACCTACGGTATCAAAAGGATTGAGCTCTGGTGGGACTCTTTCCATGTTATCGAGCCCTAGGTGACTTGGATATTGGAGTATCTCCCAGAAATTTTCGTACACATCTGGACGTCGCGAGGAGTACAGCTTTCTGCATGGCCTTATAAAGATGTTCATTTAGACCCAGCTGTTTTATGTTCGCTAGGAGGTTTTTGGGAATAACACCAGTAGTAGATAGAACAATAGGTACTGTCTGGGTACTTTCCATTCTCCATTGTCTCCTGATTTGTATTTCTAGATCTCTGTACTTGGCGATCTTTTCGTTGTATTTAACAACTAAATTATTGGTGTTGGGTATCGCCACATCAATAAGTGTTGTTTGTCTAGTAAGTTTATTAACTAGTATGAGATCCGGTCTATTATGAGCCACTGGTTGGTCTGTAAGCACAGTGCGGTCCCAGTATAGCTTGTAGTTGTCATTTTCAAGCATTCTATCAGGAGCGTATTGATAATAAGGAAGATGGTCGGTATGGAGAAGTCCCAGTTTGTCAGCTAGTTCTTGGTGAATAATCTTTCCTACTGAGTCATGGCGTTCTTTATAATCAGTACCGACAAATGCCTGGCAGCCACCGGTAAGATGTTGGATGGTTTCTTGGGCTTGGCATCCATATCGGCATTTGTCATTTTGGACTTGAGGATCTTTAACAATATACTTCAGGTAATTTTTAGTTGGAATAACCTGATCCTGAATGGCAAGTAGGAAACCCTCAGTCTCGGGGAACATCTTTCCTGATGTCAACCAATAGTTCGACGCTGTATTGTCGACATATTCTTGGTTGATCTCATTGAGATGTCGCCCATGCAGAGGTTTACTCATCCAGGTGCGCATTTTTTCTTGCTGAGTCAGGTGGTTTATGCGCATTTCTTGTTCCCTCAATTTAAGCGGCGTCGTATCATCTACTGCGCAAATTGCTCGATGTAAAGTAGATGTCTCAGACTGTACCTGAAAATAAAGTCTTAGATTAGCAATTTGTTTATCTAATTGCTCACCTATATCCATAAGTCCTCTTCCCCTTGATACCGCGGTAATGTTGTTCTCTCTACTGCACTACGTGGATGATGTTTTTGCGCCTTTGTGAGAAGTGTTCTTACTTTCCGCTGAAGACCCTCTATATCCGTTTTTGACCACTTTATAATACCAAATGAGTAGCTCAGTGCAGAACAGGCGTACGTATTTAATGCCTTAAACAAATTTTTACTATTAAGATATGACCGATTTAGTTGTCTTACTCTTCGCACGAACTCCGAAGTTAGTTCCGTTTTCATTTGTTTATGGTCAATTTTACGTGCCTGTTTTACTCCGAGATATTTGTACATATCATTTTCACCCATTGCCTCGATGTTTTGGCCATCTTGCATATCGAAACCTCCAGGCTGAACCTTTCCTCTGACTATATTTAGTATACGGCACTTGTCTAGTCCAAAATGCATACTGATGTCATTTGAGAAATTTTCTACAGTTTTTAGCATCTCATCTAGGTGATTTCGGGTGGAAGCCAATAATTTTAAATCATCCATATACAACAGATGATTAAGTTTCGCTACAACGGTGTTGTTATTTTTGATGCTAAATCCTGAGTCAGTAGAGTTCAGCAGCTGAGATAGTGGGTTCATCGCTAGGCAGAACCAAAGTGGACTCAACGAGTCCCCTTGGAAAAGGCCCCGGTTAATAGGGATATCTTCAGTTTCGATATTAATTTCACCAGGTATTTGAAGGTGAATTTTAGTCTTCCATTCTGCCATTATATGCTTCAAATATATTATTATTATTATTATTATTATTATTATTTATTATTTATTATTATTTTATTATTTTTATATATATCATTATTATTATTATTATTATTATTATTATATTATTAAATATTATATTTCTATATTATTAAAATCACTTCTCTGTTTATGTTATTCGTTCTTCGTCATTTAAAATATTCGTATTCGCAAATAAAAAACATCTATTAAATTTAGATCTGCACTCAATTATTACATTGAAAAAATTATAGATCCTAAATACTAAAAAAACTATTTTTCAGGTACCAATTCAAGCGGCCTATTTGTACGATGCTGTCATGATTTATGCCAGGGCTCTTACAGAGGTATTCAAGAATAACGAGGATCCCAGGAACGGTACTGCCATCCTGCATAGAATTATTAACAGATCGTACCATTCCATTCAAGGATACGACGTAAGTATCCAAAATATATTTACAAATATATTTTTGCCAAAAAAATAGAAAACTTGTATCTCTTGGAATCACTTGTAGTGTTAAACATTCACCATTTGATTTGGTAACGTGAGCGTTGGTGTGTTATTAAAGAAGGTTAGCTAATAAATCTATAGAGTATTTTCAATAAGTTACAGTTAATCAGGTGTTTTTGGGTCGTTCTTATATCTCTTAATATGCTTTTCATCTTAATAAGCATAATATCGGCATTTAATAATACAACATAGTCCATTCTTGTTCCATATATGTTTGTTAAAAGTTCTATCAGTTTGACCGATGTAAGTTTTTGGGCAGTCGCCACATATTAGTTTCTATACACCACTGTCTAAGTGCTTTTTATTTGGCTCTGGTTGTTTTTACTATATTTGCTTTTCTTCTTTAAGTGCCGTCTCCCAATCTGAGGTTGGATGTCATCATCACTATCTTTACTTTATCTACTGCTGCTCTGAAGAGTATAGAACTGCATTTAAACCAGTTCATTAAATTCTTCAACCACGACACTCTCCTTCTTCCCATACTCCTTTCTCCGCATATCTTTCCCTGTATTATCAGCCTTAGCAGTTCATATCCCTGTTCATAACGTGTCTCAGATATTGTAACTTTCTTATTTTTATTGTGTTTATCCTTTCGCATTTTTGCCCATTTGCCCTAACACTTCCGTGTTAGTTTTCTTCTGTGTCCATGCTATTCTAAGCATCCATCACTCTTGTCACACCACATTTCAAAGGATCGTAACTTATTTATGTGTTCTTGCTTCAATGTCCAGCTTTCAAGTCCATATTGCAGTATCGAAAACACGTAGCATCTTAGTGCTCTTACACTCAGTTGTAATTTAAGATCTTTGTTGCAGATAATTGTTTTCATTTTTACAAACGCATTTCTTGCTATTTCTATCCTAGCTCTTATCAGCCTCGGTTGTTTGATCATTATTGTCTGAAATCCAGGTTCTTTGTATTTATCAACCCTTTCTATCGGTACATTTCCCAAATGTATGTTTGTTCGTCTATTTGTTTTCTTTGTTATTATCCTGTATTTGGTCTTTTTTATATTCATTTTTAGACAATATTTTTCATAAAAGCTGTTTGTTTTGTTTAGCAGTAATTGAAGTTGTTCAGCAGAGCTTGCCATAATCACGGTGTCATCTGCATATATTATATTGTTAATAGATCTTCCGTTAATTATTATTCCTTTACTTTTCTTTTTAAGGATTTCTATAGAGATTTTGTGTGGACTATTATGTCTTTTCTGGTATTCTTCTATTTTCGCGCATTGTTCTTTTAACTATTGTACTTCAGCTTTCTTAATTCTGTATTTTAATTGTTTATCCACTTTTTGTACATGTGATTATATTTGTTCTTATATTGACGTCTTTCTTCCATTAAATATAAAGTTTCTTCCATCATCCATTGCTTCTTTTTATATCTGGTTGTTATTAGAATTTCTTTTTGACTTTTATCTATTACGATCTTTATTAACAACCATTTTTTCTCCGTCTTAGTATTTTGCAGAATTTGTTCCTTAATACTCATTAATCCGTTGTTGATTTCATCTGCCAGAAGTGGCCTTATGAGTGGATTCCTTAATTTACTTACATCGATTTTTGCATTTGTTGTTCTTCGTTTTATTATTTTCATTTTGAGCCTTTTAATAATTTTGGTCACTACTGGGTTGTGATCTGATCCTATGTCGGCACTTGGATAGGTTTTTGCGGATATAATTGCGTTTCTGTATCTTTGTCTAACTAATACATAGTCTATTTGGTTTCTTACAATTCTCTCTTCTTGATCTGCTCGTGATTTCCAGGTATATAGTCCTCTCTCTGGCATTTTGAACAATGTATTAGCTATAACAAAATTATTGTTTTGGCAAAATTCGATCAGCCTGTCACCCCTTTCATTTCTGTTGCCTAGACCATATCCTTCTGTACATTATTCTACTTTTTCTTCCCCAACCTTTGCGATAAAGTCTCCCGTTATAATTGTTACATCTTGCGTTTTAATGGATTTTAAAATGTTTTTTAGGTCTTCTTAGAAAGTTTCAATATCGCTCTCTGGTTTGTCTGCATTTGGAGCATAAACTTGTAGGATGTTTATTTTGGGTTTGTTCTGGATTAAATTTAAGAGTATAATTCTGTTGGAGTATGGAGTGAAATTTATTACAGCTTCATCAATGTTTTTGTTTAATATCATCCCGATTATATTTGCCTAAGTTGTTTTTTTTTTGTAGGTATTGGGATATTTTTGTTGTTAGGTATCATGCCTGTATATGTAATCGAGCTGAAAATATTGGGCTTTTTCCCTGGTGGTAGAAATACTAATTTAAGGGCTTTCTAATAAAGTTTTTAATTTAAAATTTAACTGTTTGTTTTTTGTAACCATTGTTTACTTCTATTTGTTTAATGATATTTATTTCTATCTCAAAGTTGTATTTTGACATCGAATTTTCTTTAATTTATTTAATTTATGTAACATGCAAAATGATTGTTCTGTAGGCTGCCAATTTATTGTGTGTAGGATGGGATGATGAATTGTGTATAGTCGTGTCAGTATGGGTAGGTTTATGAAATATGGAGAACTCATGTTTGTTTTTAGTCCGATAATTTTTAAATCTAAAAATATTATGGATTGATTTTGTTCTGTTTCTATTATAAAATCAATATGATTATGAAATGACTTCTTGTTCTTCTTCTTCACGTGCCATCTCCGCTACGAAGGTTGGCTATCATCATGGCAATTTTGACCCTGGAGGCTGCCGCTCGGAACAATTGTATGGAAGTGAACAATTGTATGGAAACCACTCCCCGAGGTTTCTCAACCATGACATTTTTCTCCTACCTATGCTGCGCCTACCTTCAATCTTTCCTTGCATAATTAGTTGTAACAGTTGATATTTATTCCCACGTGTAATATGTCCCAGGTATTGTAGTTTCCTCATTTTAACACTCAATACGACCTCCTTTTGTTTGTTCATCCTGTCTAATACAACTTGGTTAGTTATCTTATCCTTCCAGGAGATTTTTAACATTCTTCGGTACGCCCACATCTCAAATGCCTCCAGCTTACCCATTAATTGCTTATTTAGTGTCCACGCCTCCATCCCATATAACAGGACCGAGAAAACATAACATTTAAGCATTCGTATTTTCAGCTTTAGGCATAGGTTTCGGCTACACAACATTTGTTTCATGTTGTTAAAGGCACTGCGGGCTTTCTCTATTCTTATTCTTATTTCTCTGGTGTATTCGTTTGACTCGATAATATTTGTTCCGAGGTAATTGTAATTTTGTACTCGTTCAATGAGATTCTGTCCTACATGTAAGTTGATATTATTGATACGTTTCTTTGTAATTATCATGAATTTGGTCTTCTTTGTATTCAGTGACAGACCAAATTCTTCATTTGCTTCTACTTTGTTTAGTAATCTCTGTAGGTCGTCAATATTTTCTGCTATGAGCGCGGTATCATCAGCATATCGGATATTGCAAATGGGGTGACCGTTGATCTTTACTCCGGCTTTTTCGTTCATAAGAGCTTTTTTAATAACTTCTTCCGCGTAGACATTGAACAAGGTTGGAGACAACACACAGCCCTGCCGAACACCTCTTTTGATCTGTATTCTATCTGATATCGAGCTGTTAATTCGTACTGTAGCTTCTTGTTTGTAGTATAGATTCCTTACACTCGCATGTCCCTTGTATCAATATTTTTATTGTCTAGTATTTGCATCAGTGGCCTATATTTTACTGTATCAAATGCTTTGTTATAGTCTAGGAAACACACAAATATGTCCTGATTTACGTCTAAACATTGTTGTGTTAGAACATTAAAAGCAAACAGTGCCTCTCTAGTTCCTAGTCCGTCTCTAAAGCCAAATTGAGAGGGTCCGATGTCAACTTCCAATTTTTTATATATTCTCCGATGAATGATTTTTAAGAAGACCTTTAATATATGACACATGAGACTGATGGTGCGATGTTCCGAGCATTGTCTCGCATTAGACTTTTTGGGTATGGCTATTATTGTTGTTACTAGCCAATCATTAGGTATGATACCAGATTTGTAAATGCTATTAAATAGTTCCACGATCTTTATTAAGTTGTTGCCTTTAATGAGTTTAATTATATCTATTGGTAGTTCATCTGGGCCTATAGCCTTCCCCGATCTCATTTCTTTAATCGTGTATTCCACTTCATCTCTTGTTATTTCTGGTCCTGTGTCACTGTTTATGTATTCGTTATCTACATAATCTCAATATCTGAAATGACTTAATATACAATAAACATTGCCTATTAGTTCTTGTAAAACATACCAGTACATCATCTACGTAGCTCCACCAATATAATGTTTGAATACGGGATGTTTTAAAATCTTTGTCTCTAGATGATCCATAAAAATTTCTGATAGCAATGGGCTTAGAGGATTATCCGTTATAAGTTCTGCACTGTTATTTGTACATATTTACAAATTTGTATTTGTATGTGTTAAACAGAACATAAAAGGGCTTTCAATAACAAAAAACAACAGATTCTATATACGCACTTCATCTTCTAGATCAGAATAATTCTTTTATTGACGAATTTAAAATTCTTCACATACAAAATAAAAGTGTTAAGATATCTTTATCAGAATCTATGAAAATTATTAAATTATAAAATACAGACATAATTTTAAATGAGCAAGTTTAGGCAAATCCCCTCGTCAACCTGTTTCGTTAAAAACTTTAAATTGTAAACACATCCAAAATTAGATCACTTGAGAAAGGCACTCTACCGAAACAGTTGTAGTTGTAGTTGTAGTTGTAGTTGTAGTTGTAGTGTATTGCTATGAAGATAAGATAATATAGAGGATTATGTGTTTATATGGAAGGGAAATCTTATGCTATTTCTACTTGCCGTTAAGTGATTGTTAAGTTAAAGTAGATTTCATGTTATTAAACAAACTATTCTCCAATAAAGTTGTCGGAGAAATAAAGATTAAAAATACTGTGGATGGCAGTTTAAAGTTTTATATACTATTTCTAAACGTATTTTTAGTTAACACCTACAAATATATTATGCAAACATTTTTAGTCATATTTATTTTATAATCACTGTGCCACTAATTTAAAACTGTGTTATGAACACGCTAAATTTAAGTCAATACCAATTTCTAAAAGAAAAACTCTTTAATGAGCGTACTTGTAACGTAATTCTAACAGTTAAAGTTAGAAATGTGAACGAGTTTTGTTTTATTTGGTAGGTTTTCATCGACGATAATGGCGATGCAGAGGGAAATTTTACGGTAGTGGCACTTCTCGACGACAAAGAGATGAATGGCACAATCAGAATGAGTATGCAACCAGTTGGATATTTCCAGTACAAATCGAACGGAAGTAACAAAATGTCAGCCCTTCCGGTAAGTCTGCAAAATGATAAAATCTTGTTTTTAATTAACTATACCAGGGTTAAGGATTAGTGTTAAAAATATTCATTAGATGAGAAATTGTTTTATTACTTTAATATGATCATCATTATTTTTTTATTTATTAAAAAGAATTATTAAAAAGAAACATTGCCGCATGCAATAACAGGTTATTAGCCGCGTTACTCAGTGAACAAAACTTTAAATCTGATACAAAATATTGAGTGACCTTAGATAGTTTAATAAGTTTTTTACGTGACAGTTTTCTCCTAATAAATCTCGTAGAGTATTTGGTATATTGTTTATTGAACGTTTTCTATGGTACTTTGGACACTCAATTGGACAAACAAATGGACGAAGGTAAGAGGCGTAGCACATGGGTCGCACAAGGGGCGTTCACTGGCCGAAAGTAAATAAGAGTGTATGATATGTGTGTCCTATACGTAGGCGCGTTAGGGTGCATTCATAACGGAGACCATCGCATCTCTCCTCGCCTAGAGTGTAGCACTGACGGTGAACGTTCGTATTTAAAGTAATGCATTTATTTTACCGAAAATCGATTAAATGATACCATCCCATGGCCCGAGCGAGGGTCGGAGCCTCGTTATAAACGCACGCTTAGAACCGTTTGAATACACCGTGTACTAGCACTAGTTTTCCACTGCCGCGTATCTAGTTTTAGCGATCTTAATTTAGATTCTAGTGGAGACCATTCGCGCTGCCACTGACCAATCACTTTTTGTTTAAAAAACGTTTTGAGATCTTTACATATACTCTCACGCATTAATTCAGATTCTGCACTTGTTGCTGCATCACGAACACTACTGTCTGCCTCTTCATTGCCGATAATTCCTATATGCGATGGGATCCATATAAATTTAGGAGTTACGTGATTCTCTTGGGCGATTTGTACTTCAGTTTTTATTAGTTGCTCCAAGGGCTATTTAAGATACATATGCTGTATTGCAAGAAGAGAGCTAAGTAAGTCGGTAAGAAACAGAGGTTTTGAAATTCTTGAGAGGTCTGCATGTTTTAGTGCACGCAAAGCAAACAGGTCATTGTTGAAAACACTTGAGCTGGGCGGTAGTTTAAGTTTGAAAGTAGACGTCATCATTAGATTTAGAGGCGTCGGTAAAGATGTTTGTGCAGTTAAGGTAGTCTCATTCATAAATCTCGCTTAGTTTGTTTTTGATTAGTATGTTGTTATTGCATTTTTTGGAGAACTCTATTAGAGAGGTATTGCAATTTGAGATGCTTTTTAACCATGGAGTTCTGATGTTGGATGAAATACATCTGGGATTATTGTGTCAAAATTATTCAGAATTGATCTTACTCGTGTGTAATAAGGTTTTCCAGTAGGAGGTTTATTAAAGACAAAGTCAAGATTATTTTAAGAAAAAGTATTTTCGAAGAGTGGATGATCCTTATTAGCAGCTAAAGAAGAAGCATGTGAAAGTATTCAAAGTGCCCGCCTATACTGCAATGGTGGTTCTCCAGTTTTGGAATATAAGCTTTGTATGGGTGAAATGTGAAAAGCTCCGAGAACAATCCGAAATGCTGCATTGTGGATTGTATCTAACGGTTTTAGGGTACTTTTGGTTGCGGAGGCATAATCAATTGAACCGTAGTCGAGTTTGGATCTAATTAGTGTTTTAAACAGAAGTAAGGAGTAGTGTAGAGAAGTCGGAACCCCAGAAACGATTTGATACGGTTTTAAGCAAATTAAGCCTTTTTTTTTCAAGGGTTATATGTGCCTTTTTCAGGAAAATTTTAATCCAGCCACATACCAAAGAATTTCACGGAGTTTTGGAAGGGAATGATGCTGTTGTGAAGATAAAGGACAGGTGTAATGAATGATTTTTTCGTAAACATCATAATATTTGTTTTTGTAACGACGAATTTGAAGCCTGTATTAGCTGTCCATTTATCTAGTTGGGTTAAAAATGTTTGTACTATTCTGCACATAGATTCTTTTTGTACTCCTTTAATGTACACTAATAAATCGTCGTCAGAGAGCCAAGTTTTGAGAAGTTTATGTAATTTGTTTAATATGTTGTTTATGGGTAGGATATGTTGTTTAATAGGAATAGGGTAGGACTAAGTATTGAGCCTTGTGGGGTACCGTTTTCTGCAGTATAAAAATCGGAATAAACATTATTAACTCTTACATGTCTTTTAAGAAATTTTTCATATAGGCTAAGCAGTATCCTCTAATATTGGATGCGTGCAATTTTTTAATGATGTTGAATCTCCATCACGTATTGAAGGCTTTTTTTAGACCGAAAAAAAATAGCTATGCACATTTGATTCATTGCTAACGCTTCTTGAACATCACTTTGTAAGTCTACGATATTGTCAATTGCCGGTTACTTCTGAAGCCGTTTTGCTCTGGTAAGAAGAAATGAGATCTTTCCAGTGTTAACAGAAGCCGGGTATTGACTATTTTCTCCATTAATTTAGCCATGGCACATGTTAGAGAGATGAGTCGATATGATTCTGGATCAAGTCGAGGCTTTCTGTATTTTAAAAATGGCAAAATTGTGGCTTTTTATTATATAGATGAATATTGTCGTAGTTGAAAATTAGCAGTAGATATTGTTTTGCTAAGATTGATAAATGCTTTAGAAATACAAGAAGAATATTGCTGGGTTCTGGACTTGAGTTTTTCATATCTTGTGGGGAGTTATTTAGTTTTATAGTAGTAAGAGGTTGAGATAGGGGTTTTCGTGATTTCTTCTAAAGACAAGATGCTGCTTTCTTTCTTTAGCTTGTAGTCCCTAAAATTAATGTCGTAGTTTTCGCTAGAGGAATGTTGTTAAAAGGTGGACGCAAGAGTTTTAACGATGTCTTGTAAAGAAGAGACTGTGGTATTGTTTATTTTAAGGGTGTTAATTGATGCAGAGTACCGTAAACCGAAAATTTGTTTTACACTTTTTCAAACTTCGTTCATTGAAGTAAAAATGTTTATTTCCGAGATTTATTTTGACCATGAGGTTTTTTTGATTGAGGTTTGACCAATAATCGTAATTCTAGTTTCCTTTATATTTAAGATACTTAAAATCTGAAGATAAATTATGGTTTTTTAATTTTTTTCACCTACTTTTAATTATCTATGTTACCTGAATTCTTCAATGGTTTTAATGGACTACCTAAGCTCTGGCGTCACAATGAGTGGGTATTTAAAAAACCTTTCCAAATATTTTTAATTTGTGTGTATTTGTCCTATAAGAAGTTGGAAATATAAACCAATATTTCTGCTAGTAAATATTGTAAAAGTGACTAAAACATAAAGTGGACTCCGGAAGTTATTTAGAACATGAAAAGTAAATTTAAGTTTTATGTCTGTTAATACACTGTGTTCTAAAAGTAAGCCATACCATTTATAATATTGTTCTTTGTCAGTTAAAAATAAAAACACAAACAAAACAAGTCGATGTTTTTTAAATTGCAATTGTTTGTTGCACATTTAATTTTTTTGATATATTTGTCGAAGTTATAAGGCTATCAATTTTTTTAACGTCACGCCTTGTATTTAATTAATGAAATGAATAGCACTGTTAGAGACAAATTCAACGGAATAGGGGTTAGCTTTTATTCTCTAATTACTTCATGAAATATTTGAAAAAATGTGTAAAAATGATGTTTATCCATTTCAAATGTTTGTCACTGAATACATCAGTTTTTGTTGTTCTCGTTTATTTATCACCCATTTATTTTTTACATTACAAAATTTATGCCACAAAATATAAAAATTGAAAATATCTGAGATTTATTTGACATAAATTATCTGCAGGGAATTCAATAAAAGTGGAACAACATATATTTGCCTAGATCATAACGGACGGTGACGAAAATGATCGTCAAAATGTTATATTGAGTGTTGCTGAAAATCCTCATGTCTTGGTTTGCTCCTCTCCATAATTAACCATTTTGGATTGGCAAAATCTGCAGTTCAGCGATCTCTCAAAAACAAAAATTGGTATCTCTTTAAAGACAATTTCAAGCAAAACTTTTGTGAAGATGACACTGATAAAAGACTGAAGTTTGGTGAAACGATTAAAAATTTGCTCAAAGGAGATCCTACTGTCGGAGAGAAAACACTGTATCCTATTTTTTAACCACCTTTGAAGCAATTTTTTTTAAACGGAAGCAGTTATAAATAAAATACACACTTTTTATGCCAGGAAAACCCATTTTTGACTGGGATTGTTGGAAATTGGATGTTAGGTCCATATTTTTTTGATGGCAATTTAAATTCAAATGAGAATATAAGTGAGTTCGCTCTGAAAAAGCCAAGAGGCTGAAATATGCATATCAGCGAATGGTGGTACGCTGCAACGAAATCAAACCTAAGCCATCTATTTTATTTTTAAATACAAATGCTTACTTATAGTTATTAGGATTTACGTTATCCTAGCCTTAACAATCAGATTTTATAATGAAGGCGATCGTGATGTATCATCTGACGGTGCTCCGCCTCATTTTAGAGATAATGTGTGGAATTTCAAGACATATTTCCAATTCCATGGATAGGTAGAACAGGGTTTATTAAGTGGCCGTCTCTTTCTTTGAATCTAGATTTTGGGTTCAACTACAACTACAGGTACAACTTTTTGTCTTAACCAACAACAAAGACATGATCCATAATGTAATAGTTCTTAATAGCTGTTCAGTGGTTAGTGATTATAGAATGGTAAGAGCGAAGATCGTGCTAAATCTCCAAACTTAATAAAAGCTATTAAAAACGCAGAGATAAGTGCAATACAAATCCTAGGAGAGATAAGAAAGAAAAAATCAGTCAAGAGATAAAACTACTTATGGAAACACGAAGAGAACTTAAGAACAAAAACGATACAAATGCACGCGTACTACAACAACTTAATAAAGATATTAATAAAGCAGTGAGAAAGGACGTACGACAATATAACACAAACATATTACAACGGTTGTCGAGGAAAATAAAAGTTTAAAGGTGCTGAAGAGATGTCAAGCTC